TTGATGATTTTCCTCATTACTTCAAAGAAATTCTGGGACATTACTTTACATCAGGCCACGACCGCTTTCTTCGATACCATTTCCAATTAATTAATAAATCAATAAATCAGTCAATCGGCGTTATACACACTCAGTTACCGACAACAAGGTAAAATAAATAATGTTAACAAAACCAGACGTCCCTGAAACCGTAACACTAAAGTTCTGTTTATTTCATGATGAATATAAACCTGAGTGAATTAAAAACGAGAGTACGTGACAGCATTTCAAACAATCATGAAAGGAAAACATGCAAAATGTTCTAAATTACAGGAATAAGCCCGGCTCCACAACACAGTTAATCAAGTTAAGCGCCCACTGTGAAGGGAATTTAAATGAACCCCCAACCCTTCAAAATCAATGATAGCTGCGAAACATAAAAAGCAAAGGGGTTGAAGACTAACAGGGCAATGCAATCTCGGGGGAGGAGGAGGGCTGAGAAATTACGCACAGGATGGAAGATCTTGCTTCAAGATCTAGGAAGCCGGACACACGAAATTCCTACAGGCTGAAGAGAGTTTTCTTTCAGACCCGATAATAAGGTCTTCAAAAAAAAATTACTGTTTCTTCGGGACGACTGATCTATGCGATGATGTGCAGTGCACTTTCGTAGAAATTGATCGACGTTTCAGAGGCGCTAACAGCATCCATTATCTCCCTGATGACGGAGGCAGTAACAACCTCAGTGTTACTGACTGTTAAAGAGTGTGGTAAACGTAGTTACCAAAGGCTTTCAAAGGGTTATTCTCTGATACTAAAAATATCAGAATAAATTCTGCACTTGCGTGACATAAAATGTGACTGACATTATGCGAAGAGAATGCTGACAGCCAGTTCAAAGAGAAAATGAAAACAGAAGAAATTTTGAGGCTGTGCGTGGCAGAGACGGAGGGAGGAGGAAGACTGCTTTGCCGACCGGGCTCGTGCGAATGGATCCGGTTGTCATTTGCAGAACGTCGCAATTAATTCGGCGGAGAAGTGCGTATTACTTCATGTTCTGGGGAGAATAGAGCAGGTTTTACATTCTGAAAGGCTTTTAGATTTATGAACAGAGAGGAGAAACGAATGAACAAGCCATTTCAAAGCCGCGAGTTACCGACGTCATCAGCACAAAACGTACCGTTTTTAAACTGCGTTGTAAATTTCCCCTAAACTTAAGATTTGAGGCGTTCGTTCCTTCTGAGTTTTGGCCCCGTGTAGTCTTCTCGCTCTATAACAACGTTTCGGAGACAAATATTGCCTCCTTCTTCAAGGCTGAAGTTTATTCACCTGAAGAATTTATCGAAGGTAAAATCTGCCCGTAACACTGAATACTTATATCAGCAAAATGCGTAAGTTCCTCTAGATTTATCTTTGTATTTTGTTCCCATTCTCTGCCCTCTCCCCTTGTTTCGCTCGGGAAGTTTACCGACGTTTCCGACCTTCTTGCGAATCACCCTGATGATGGAAGCAGCAAGGCCTTCGGAAACGGTGGTAAGCTTCTACCAGACTACACGGAGCAACAAACCAGAAGACGGCCATCTTCGGACTAAGTAATCCGTGCCTTATTTTAGCCGGAACACAGAGGATCACACACACCGACAACAAATTCAGTGACTGCAAATATGTATTTACGACTGTCCGGTTCCCCCTCAATGCTCGGGGTAGACGATATTTCCCAGGTGCAGGGAAATGCTTACGTAATTGAATGGCGAAGTAACGGGTTAATGAATTGTGGCTATAAAACTTAGCCGGAGTGTTGTAACGACAAGGTGTTCTACATTTTGTGCCACTGCGGTTCCGAGGGGGTGGACGAAGGGTTAGGGGCGTGAATTCCTGCAATTTGGGTTGCGTGTCAGAATTAATGACCCTTACGCAGTTTCATACAATGAATGCCACACACTACAGCTTCCCAAACAATAACTAACATCTCTATTATTATTGGGGGGTGCATTTTATATTACTATCGGAACGATGATAGTGGTTTACCTGTTATCTTTCGACGCAATATAATTCCAACCTCAATTTTACTGGCATAACCACAAGATGTCTCAAGGTACATTCACGAATGTTTTAAGTTGATCACATCCTACTAACACATGTTTTACATCAAAAACAATTTCAATGTATAACGACAATCCTCCTCTTATGATTTACAAGGATGTCTAGCCTCAGTTGCAAACAATAAAACAATATTTATAAATAAGCTTCATGATAATTATAATACTGATTTCCCCAAAATGATTAGTGGCCGTTTTCCAAAACGTATGCAAGTTATTAAAACTTAACTTGAAAACAATGCCGTTTCATTAATTTAAGAAATACTTACGTAACTTCTTCATCTGCCCATATTTTGGACTACAGCTTAGTTTATTTCAGTTTTAAAGTAGGCGTCGCTAACCTTTCTTCACGAGCGAGCACAGTATTAACTTAAAATAAACGAATTGAAATAACTACATTACGAAAAACTTGTACCTTGTGTTCTCACATCAGGGCATTTTCCAAAACAACGAAAATATCCTACCTAATGAAGAGGTAATAATTCATTTTCTTAAAAAATGGCACCATTATTTACACCATAAATCCCGATCGGAAAACGGAAATAAAGAAACAACTTGGAAGAACTATCGAAAAGGAAAATATTAAAACGACTGCTTGAGAAACACAGCTTCAGGGGGGCATGGACAGCATTGATGTGTGTCACGACAGACCAGTTACGGGCTACTGGGAACATGGTAACAAACCTTCACGGTCTATATAAGACAATGAATTTCTTCACTAGCTGAGCAAGTATGAAGTTCACAAGGACGGAGTTAGCTAACCAGAGATATTCAATATTCACGACCACCATCCCTTCCCATTCGACAGTGTAACGTACACAGTTGAAACAGCGTCCTTGAACAACCCACGAATAACAAGTGGTTACAGCCAAGACCTGTTAGGCACCGCTCCATCACGATCTGGAAGAACTCTATGACGTTCACAACTCATCCTACCCTTGTCGCTGTTGGCAGTTGTTTCGTCTGGATCTCCGCTTGTCTGTCGTCGCCATGGCTTTTACGATTCCACCCATGACATGTGCGATCCCTCGCATTCCTTACACCGTAGCTGGTTTTATGACCACTTGGCAGTGTGTTCCCAGGAGCAGTTAAAATTACAAACATTTTAAGTCGCATCTACCAGCAGTAAAGTTCAAGACCGTTGGTTCCTTACGCGCTGTCCCACCGAACTAGCTCTAAGCTCCGTAACACCCGAAAGCCTCCATTTGATCGGAATCGGCTCTGGCTGCGAGCTCTTTGCATGATGGCGTGTGACTGCGGTGTAATCTAGGGGCCACAAACTAATCTACCAGAGTGGGCATCTTGGTAGACTGCATGTTACAAAGCCTGACTTATAGTTGCTCAGCCCGTTCTTAATTACGACTATTCGCCAGCTGCAAGAATCACATCTGAATAAAGTACTACTGCACCAACGACGCCAAACAAAAAGTCCAAATTACCAGCAAGTAGACAAAACATAACTCAATTAATGCAACGTCTTAGAGCGCAATCAAAGGAGGATAATTAAAGACCCTTTCACTTTAATTAAAGAAAACAAGACTAGAAGCCCTTTTTAAGAAGCTAACAGTTATTCAGCTAATCAAGAAAGTTGAGGTCTTTATGGAATCTCACGTTTCACTATCGTGTTCACAAGAGACCTGACAAAGGTCCATGTCGTAAATCACAAACACTATATTCCTTTAAAACACAGTTAAATATTAGAATGCAACGTGCACCCATGTCTCCGAAATTTCGCTAGCATTTTGAGAAATAAAATAATAAACGAGTACTAAAATAAACATTACAATTGAGAATCTATTCAATATCCTCAAATGCCTAACGCAATATTTGTCCTCTGTTACACCCATACATACCAAGGGCAGAGCGATCACGTGAACCAGACTTATAATTCGAAAAACGAAAACAAAAATAAAGTCTTTTTTGTTTTACTTATGTGGTTCAGTGTTACTACACAGACTGGAACACAGCAGAACCGATCAGATAAAATGCGTCGTTAGACAGCAGCAGCCAGGGAGGAGATCGCGGCGAACGTAAGCCTCAACTAACTGGCTAACAACGTCAGGCTGGCTGCATCTGGCATGTAAATATATCTCTATGCTTATAAACATATGAATAGCAGCTACACATCGTTGCATTAGTTTCGAAACGAAACCTAAAAGCATGATCTATTAATATTCAAAATGTCGAAAATGAAACATTTCCTGACACGTACACTTAGCCTACAGTAAAAGCCTCCTTTTACGAGAGAACTTATCCAACCGAGTGGCCGTATGACTCAACCAGAACCCATTTTTATGTTTCAACATTCGATTCATAAATATTTTTCTGCAACGAAATTCTGCTAAGAGGCGCTGCAAATGACCGTCACGTCGCGTTGACCCTTCGGCCGATACAAAACATTAGTCGGACAGAAGAGGTTTAGCGTGGCCACATTTTGCTACGTATTGATCCTGGCGTCTCGCCCACGACACACACTGCCATTAAGTGGGCACCCAAGGACGACGACGACTTCAAGTTAGGTTTGTCTCTTCCAACCCCACGGAGCAGAATCCTTCTTCGGAAGCTACAAATGTACCTGACTCCCACGTCACATATTTGCTAGGCCGCTGCTCAAGCCACTGGCGCAAATGCGGGAACAAAAAAAAGTCGCTAACGTGTTGGAGGACAGATCACTTCCTTCTTCAGGATGGAAATAACGGGAATTGAATTTTAGCAAATCACTGAACATCTGACATTGCATTTCACACTAAAACTCACGAGCAAAGATTTCTCTCTCGAAAACTGAGGTTTATTCCGTCCTGCGGAGGGAGAAAAGGACTATAACGCTATTCAACCATTCCTAGCTGTGCCAATTTAAACCTAGCTGGTTCACCGACCTATAATATTGTTACTGGATTAGCAACTGACAGAAGACGTTCTTACCGTATCGCATTTCCTTGTCAGTGGGGATGTTTCCATTGGGCTCCAGTCTGTCCAGGAACTCGTCAGAGTAGCCGTTGTACGGTAACTTAGAGGCTCGCGTGGAAGAATCTTCCACTTCTTCCTTGGAAATAGCTGCAACAAGTAGAAAGCGTCCAGGTTAATAAATTAACTATTAATCCTTTGAAAAAACCGGTGGAAATTATAACACTCGATAAAGCTGTATTTTTGTATCTGTGTCTCCTGTACGAATCCCAGTGTAAAAAGGGATTTGTTTCTTAAACAGCGCTGACCAGCTGATATCTGTAACGGTGATGAGTTGTGTTTTCTTTGCGGTACGGACTGAATTCTTAAATATTGTTCTCGGAACATTCTGCTTGAAAGGAAAATGGAAAATGGAAGAAATAAATGAAGGAGAATGTGGTAAAGAAATAGAGAAACAGAGAAGAGAAGGATAGAAGGGCGGATGAAACAGAGAGAAAAAGAAAGGGCAGAAAAACAACAAAAATAGAAAACATATTTTTATAGAAGGCCTACATTAAGGTAATCAGCTAAGATGTTGCAAACGGATAATTCTGTCATATTTTATACTTTTTAGAAGGAGGGTAGATGATAAGTTTATTATCTCATTTTCCTACATTCACATGTAATATAAAGACACTACACGCACGAGATTTTTCGATGCCTAAAAATGATTCAAACTCTGTATAAAGAAACGTGAACATCCTTATGAAAAATTTTGCTGCTCTAAAAAACAAAGATACTCTACAGTTCATAAAAAAGAGACGAGGCAAGGATTTAGTAGTACAGGCAAACATTACATAATAAAACACTTCAGAACGAAAGGGATATCTGCTTCACGATACAGAAGTAATAGTTCCTGGGAAGTTTACACAGGCTTCGTATGATAAATAAGAAAATGTTACGGGAATTGAAACTATAACATACAATAGTCTACATATTAACCAGACTATGAACCACATATTAGGCGCGACTGTACACGATTTCAAGACTCTTTCCAGGCACGCGAAAAGAAAAACAGGAATATTGTTTTGTAGGTCACATATTTCTCAGGTTGGGTGGTCAAGATTAATGTGAAGAGATGAGCCAAGAGTCACAGCTGTTGGTCTGATGCTTCATTTAATTTATTTCGTTGTGTACATTTTCTTTCATCCCTTTATGAAGAGTCACAATGCCCTGTACAAAGCGTCCAGTGTGTAAATGTCTGCTTCTTTCATACTTCGCTTCAGCTACAGAAGGAAAAAAGATTGCGGCTGCTTAGGAAAGGAATAAACTGCATGAACAGAACAACAACAACAACAACAAAAGCTTGTATCCGCATACAAAGGACAACAGAAGTAATGCACGATAATTACACTGCTTACAACATGAGCCTATGTCAAAAGTCTGCAAATTAACGCACTGTAATTAAAATCATATGAATCTTCAAACAACACGTCCGCGATGGCGGTATGTGTTGTGACACCGTGTTCATATGAAGGTATGCACCGAATAGGAATACACCGCCTCCATCATCGGGGCTGGTTTATACATTAAACCATGCATCATCACTCGAAAACAACCAGACTTAAAGAAACAGGGAGACGGTCCAAATTTTTCTACGCAACAAAACATGAAGATACCAGTATCTGTCTTCAGCGCACTTTTTCATAAGATATTTCGGACAGGATTAATTCATCAGAGAGGAATGTTGTCATACTGTCGCCTTCTTCAGTGAAGAAGTATTCAGCCCTGAAGATGGGGACATTATCTTTCTCCGAAACTTTGGCATTTACCGAAGAGTCTAAATGCCGCCAAAAATCAGAAGAACATCATTCTCCTCCCCGTCGTGAAAGCCTCGTATGTCACAGAAAGGGAGGTCGTCTATAATAAAATTGACAAATCAATATAAACACAAAAGTTTAATTAAAATTTAAAGTAAAGATTATTTCAAATGACTGCGGAAAATTATTATAATACGACTTAAGGCAACACCTCGTTACTAAGTATAGATTCAAATAAGACTTGCTCGCCACTTTTCCTTGTAGAATATGAAGTTATGTACAAGAGACGAATTTTCGTTTTCCTTTTATGAAAACTTCCTTTTGTAGCGAAAGGACGGAGAGAAGATGGGGGGGGGTTCCCCCACAAAGCAGTCCCCCCCCCCTTACTATTAAAACTTCTTCTAGCAAACTTATCTTCCATTATGAATACAAGAGAAAACATACTCTCGTATTAAAATGAAAGGTAAAAGATTATTCCACCCTCTTCCACAAAATTCTCCTTATTAATTATACATCTAAACAACAAATTTACAAACCAAAACGTCACAAACTCATCGACACTACGGAAAGTGAGGACATTCAAAAACTACGTCAATCTTCTGCCCGCAGAACTTGTGACGTCACACCGACACCAGAGGATGCAGACTCAGAAGATCCCCTGGTGCCAATTACGCACCACTACATGGTGTATGGGGGGCTGGAGGTGTAGCTCCAGCCAGCATCTCTGCATCAGCCGGAGGTAAGTGGATGGCTTCACGCTCCGTCCGATTTACCTCTCAGGAAATAACCGCGGTACCCCCACCTGCTTTAACATTAAATATAAAGATGGTTGTCTTCTGGGTTGTTGCGTCGTCTAGTCTGGTAGACGATTATCGACGTTTCGGGTGTAGTTGCTTCGTCCATATCAGGATTACTCATCTACCAGTCTTCACGACGCTACAACCCAGAATACAACCAACTTCATGAGTAAACAAATCTCTTGAAAATTCGGGCCCGTTCCATTCAACGTCAAGATTCTGATGCTTCCATCTCATTCTGGGTCTATCAACGTTTCCCTGGGTTTATACACTTGTTTGGTAATCGTTCCTGAAAAAAATATCGATATCTAACGACGTTAAATGCAGCACAAATTCGTATTTTGTGTTTTAAAAACAGACAGAGACGGAAACTGGCGATAAACACCGCGTTCCACATTCATTTATTTCATTTTGTCGAGAGCGAGAGAGAGAGAAGTGTCTGATTTGCCACTCTGGGGTGGCAGTGAGCGGAGGAAAAGAGCTATCTTCGTCGAACTGGCAAAAGACAGCCACGCAGTACTACAGCCGTGAACAGGCCATCAGTTTCTCCGTGTTAGCACGCTCCATAAACAACGGCTGGGACTAGAATTATGCGTCCAACTCCTGTCTTCTTCGGCCATGCGCTCCCTTCGTCGCTTCCTGTCAACGACCACGAAAACGCCTCCATCTTTCCTTCTCTCCTTCCGCATCGACACACCGACGTATTCCTCCTTCTGACCTTTCGTTTTACGCGAACTATCCTGTCTGCGGCAGGAACAGATTTCAACCCAACGGCAACACTTCTTGCCCCAGCCATCATTTACAGGTCTCGAAGGAGAGGGGGGCTGTGCTGGAAAGCTAATGTCTCCATTACTGTCGGGTTCACACAGTTATTCGATTCCCAAGTTAAGCTGTACATCCTCTCTTCCGTGCGTCGCCATTTTTGCTATCAGTGGCAGAGTGGAAATCCTGCTTTGTGGAACCTCGCATCGGAAACACGAATTCTCATCGTCATCCTAGCGAGACAGGAAGAGATAAGCAAACATGTCTGAAAGTCATATCTGTCGGTCACGACCTTCATCGGAATATGAGGAGAGAAAAAAATGAAAATTTCGCCCTGTCGCTTTCCTCGTCAGAAATACATAACAAATGTCCCACTTTTATCCTTGCTAGGCAGGAAGAGAGAGAGAGAGTGGTAAAAGACCATAACTGTGTGACTCATCATCCTCTACTGTCACTGGGAGTGGTAAAGGACCATAACTGAATGACTCATCATCCTCTACTGTCACTGGGGAAATGCCGTCGAAAATGTTACCATATAAAGCCCCAAAATCCTCAACAACAGATGAAGATAAACCAGCCAACAATGCCTATTATATAGATGTCATCCCAGTGTTTTTATTCCTCAGACTCGGTAATATTTCTGCAGAAAACTCACAAGCTTTTATTTCGTCCCTAAACGTCTCTCTCTCTCGGTACGTTGAAGCTGTGTGAATAGAATCCCAGACAGAGCAAGTCCGCGACACAGCATCACAACAGAATGATTAGAACACCCGGAGACAGAAGTGAAGAGATAAAACTTGCGATTAAATGAGATTCGTCTCTCGATTAGTTTTTCCAGGGTCATAACTGAAAAGTTCTTGTTGACGCCCTCTGGAGACCGTCTCCATCTTAGCATCTCGAGCACCAGCAGGGCAAAAAGTGTCCATGCCTTCCAAAGAGAATAATATCTGCAGTGGGCAACAGAAAGCCTGCATCTCATGCACTACGTACAACCCGATTTTTCAGACATGGCCGGTGACAAACAAGGCCGCGCAACAGATTTGGCCGAGTCCATTCCACGTGCGCGACTACTTATTTTACCGCTTCTGCTTGAAGCCAACGCTTATTATGTATCTAGTCCGTACCGCAAAGAAAACACAAGCCTTCACCATTACACCGCACAACTGAACAATGATATACAGGGAAATAATCGCTATTTAAAGTGAGAATCATACGAAACCCAACAGAACAAAATTCTGAGTTACTGGCTGTTAAGGCAGGTAACACTGCGCTCAGGAGATTTGACGGAACTCGATGTTATGGGACTGCGAGTCGAGATCCTTCAGTCATTATAGCGAGTAGACTACGGCCTGGATAACTGGGGTTCGATTCCCCGGCAGGCAGAATTTTTCCCTTCGCCACAACATCCAGACCAGCTCTGGATCCCAAGCGGCATCCTGTCCAATGGGTATCGTGTTCTTTACTGTGGCATAAAACAGCTTGTGGCGTTAAACTAGAGTTTAAGAATTCATGGAGCTATACACGCACTCCTCCATACCCCATACGTCAATACGGCGTGGGGCTCAAATTAAGAACCACGGACGCTTGTACCTTTTCTTACACTCGTTGCAGCCTTTTACCTAAAGCCCACTCGTACAACGCTACGAACAAATGGTACAAACACTCGTTAGAAGTGAAATATAGACCAAAATACAACAGAATGATGCGATCATGTCAGAAAGGAAACTGCTCCACGATATTCATCGTCTCTCCAGTGGCTGAGGTCGACACACACACATAAAAAATCTGACAA